AGTCAGAAGTGGCTTGGTGGCAGTGGGTTGTTGGACTTCTAACTTAAAGTGCCATTCCCCCCTCTTAAGAACCAGTATTCCAGGTTTTACAGGCCAAAGAGGAGACTGGACAGAAACAGGGCAAACAGCTAAAGGTGGTTTACCTAATGTGCTGCAGCAGCTCTGCACCAACGAAACACAGAGGACTCTAATAGTGCAACGTCTTGTTTTGAATTAGAGCACCGGGTGGGACACTTCAGAGTGGAATTTATTAACCAGACTACAGCAGAAAACGTCATTCACTTCTACGAACCATGATACAGTGGGGGGAAAGGCCCCCAAATTCAAATATCCTTCATAGAGACAGCTTTTTAAAGTCCTAACCTGGACAGAGAGAAACCATCAAGATAGAGGAAAACATCAACACGAGCACAGAACCCTAAAAGGCCACGCTCGCTGCCGTGGAACTAACTGCTCCCACTCAGGGCCACCCTGGAGAGGACAGAGCAGCACTGCCCCTGTGGCTGTCCATGGCTGCGAATCTTCATGAGAGCAGAGAGCCTCCTCTTTCTTCCAGAGCAACTGCTGACCTCATGGAGTCTGACGAATAACGCAGTCGACTAATTATGAGACCAACAGGGACCCTGTAGGACAGAATAGGATTGCTCTGTGGGTTTCTAAGACTTTAAATCTTCATGGCTCATGCCCCAGAGATCTCCAGGCCCTTTTCTCGGGTAACAAAGTCCATCCCCCTCTTGAGTAGAGGCCAGAAAACATCACCTCTAAGTCATAACATATGCTCCAGGCCAAGGGAATTGGATAATGCCAGACATAATGATTGGTCCAGGGACAGGGTCACACTCCCAACTGCTTCAGAGTCCTTGCCCAGGACATGCCACAGAGCTGTGAAGGAAAATTGCCTTTGTCTCTGAAGGATGACTGAGCCTGGAGGAAGCTACCTTTCCTGACATCTGGAAGATACGTACAAAAGACGATAAAGCCACCTTCCAAAGAGAAGCACAGACAAGACAGAATGAGGTCCAGGGATGCTGACTGAGCCCTGCACCCTCTCTTAGCTGGGGCCAACACCATGATCTTCAATCTTTCTTATCATCTACATGTTCTATTTTCATTTATCTGTTTATGTTTGTATATGCTTGTATAAAAGTATGATAAAAACCTCCTGACTGATAATATTAATGGTTAAAATAACAATAGCAGGTAACACTAAGTTTAGGAGCCCTCGTGCTACAGTGGGCTAAGCACTTAACTGTTAGCCACAAGGTTGGTGGTCCAAATCCTGCAACTACTCGAAAGGCGAGGCTGTCTGCTCCTATAAACATTTACAGCCTTGGAAATCCTAAAGAGAAGCTCTACTCTGGCCAACAGGCTCACTGTGAGTCAGAATCAACTCAGTAGCCATAGGTTTGGTTTGGTTTGGTTTGAAGACTAAATTTGAGCTTACTTTGGATCTGGCACGTCCGTGTGTTTCACAAACGCTAACTTATTCCATCTAAAACAGACTTACTCCTGCAAGACAATTTTGACTCATAGCAACCCTCTAGGACAGACTAGAAATACTCCTTAGGGTTTCTGAGACTACACATTCTTACAGAAGTAAACAGCCTCATCTTTCTCCCATGCCCAATGCCTAGCCCACAGGGCTCTTCTGCAGGCAGAGAAAGTAAAATGAAAGGGTAGGGGCAAAACAGAAGAAAGTGAGCTGCAGAGTGATGAAGCAAGTTAACCAAATCACACAGCTGGATAGTTGCGGAACTGG